CCTCATTATTAGCAACATTAATCTTCCAGGATTCTAGGACATCATCTCTCGTCGATTCTGCCTTTGTATGTATGTATGAAGGTCGGTAAGTAGGTATGGATGGATGGGTGGGTGGGTGTTTGGCATTGTCTCTCTCTGTCTCTCTGTTTCTGTTTCTGTCTGTTTGTCTGTCTGTCTGTCTGTCTGTCTGTCTGTCTGTCTGTCTGTCTGTTCTCTCTCTTTCTTCTGTTTCTCTCTCTTCTTCTCTCTGTCTCTCTCTTCTCTCTCTCTCTCTCTCCTCTCTCTCTCTCTCTCTCTCTCTCTCTCTCTCTCTCTCTCTCTCTCTCTCTCTCTCTCTCTCTTCTCTCTCTCTCTCTCTCTCCCATCCCTGTCCGTCCCTCTCTCTTCCTCCTTTCCCCCCCCCTCTCTCCCCTCTTCATCCTCCTACCAATCTCAAACCACAATCCTCCCCCTCCTCCCCTCCTCTTCTACCACCACCCTCCTCCCCTCCCTCCCCCCCTCCCCTCCCTCCCCTCCCCTCCCCTCCCTTCCCCTCCCTCCCCTCCCCTCCTCATCTACCTCTACTCCCCCCCCTCCCCTCTCCTCCCTGGGCATCAGTCTTCAAAATGCTGCGAGTGTTTTGATTCCAAAAGGTAATTATTGGTTTCGTCTGATTACGAGAAAGTGGCTCTCTCGCGTTGGGGAAGAGGGAGGGGAAGGAGGGAGGGGAGAGAGGGAGGGAAGAGGGGAGGGAAGAGAAGGGAGAGTGAGGGAGAGGGAAGGGAGGGGGGAAGTGAGGAGAGGGAGGGAGAGGGAGGGGAGGGAGGGAGGGAGGGGAGGGGAAGGAGAGGGAGGGAGGGAAGTGGAGGAGAGGGGGAGAGGGAACGGAGGAGAGGGAGGGGAGGGAAGTGTGGGAGAGGGAGGGAAGGAGGGAGGGAGAGGAACGGAGGAGAGGGAGGGAAGGGGGCGGAATGGGGGAGAGGAAGGGGAGGGAAGTGGGGGAGAGGGAAACGGAGGAGAAGAAGGGAGGGGAATGGGGGAGAGGGAGGGGAGGAGTGGAGGAGAGAAGGGGAGGGAAGTAAGGAAGAGGGAGGGAAGGGGAGAGTGGGAGGGGGGAGGGGGGGGTGTGAGGGGAGGGAAAGGAGGGAGGAAGGGGAAAAAATTTGGGAAAATCGATGGAAGGAGAAAGATGGAAGGAGAGAGGGAGGGGATAGCGGAAAGGAAGATGAAAACAGGGAGGAGAGCAATAAAGGGATAAAGAGGGAGAAATAAGGGGAAACTGTATAGAAAGGGAAAGAAAGAGGGGAAGAAACAGGGAGGAGGAGAGGAAGAGGATAAAGGATAAGCGGGACGGAATTAGAAAGAAAGAGCAGGGGAGAACAGAGGAGAGGAAAACAAAAGATATTTGATAAACAGAGGAACAGCAAAAAGAAAAGGAAATATTTATTCGCGTGAAAGAAAATGCGGAGGCAGACAGATAGACAAATAGATATGACAGAGGATATATACGGTCAGAGAGAGAGAGAGAGAGAGAGAGAGAAGAGAGAGAGAGAGAGAGAGAGAGAGAGAGAGAGAGAGAGAGAGAGAGAGAGAGAAGAGCAGAGACATAGAGAGACATAGAGACAGAGACAGAGAAGGTAAGTAGATAATTAGACAGAGAGATAGAGCAGAGATACAGATAGAGAGAGTGAGAGAGAGAGGAGAGAGAGGAGAGAGAGAGAGAGAGAGAGGAGAGAGAGAGAGAAGGAGAGAGGAGAGAGAGAGAGAGAGAGAGAGAGAGAGAGATAGAGTAGAGATAGAGACAGAGACAGAGACAAGACAGAGATAAAGAGAAGAGGAGACAGGACAAGACAGACAGAAACAGACACAGCCAGAGTTTAAAGTAAACTGAAGACCCCTTTTTGTCCACATTTACAGAAGGGCTGAATATGCACGTCAGACCCACGGCGTTTCATAAATGGCACGAGTTCAACCATGACACGAGGAGGGCATCGTGTAAAAGGCATCTGCATTTCAGCATTTAGATACGTTCATACATCACGTCAACACACACTCACGCATACCACCACTCATAAACATACATTTAATGGCATAAACGCTCAAACACGGACACACACAACACACACACACTTCTCTCTCTCTCTCTCTCTCTCTCTCTATCTCTCATCTCTCTCTTCTCTCTCTTCTCTCTCTCTTCTCTCTCTCTCTCTCTCTCATCTCTCTCTCTCTCTCTCTAACTTTACATCTCCTCTCCTCCCTCCTCGCCCTTCGCTTCTCCATTCTGCCTCCCTGCTCTCATCTCTTCCCCGTCCTGCTCTCCCTTCCTGTCCTCCCCCCCCCTCTGCCTCATCCCCTCCCTCCTCCCTCTCTTCCTCTCACCGCATCCGATCTCATCCGCTCCTCTCCTCCTTTCCTCCTCCTTTCTCTCTCTCATC